AAAGTAACAAACGAAAAACATAGGGCTACCGGTAGTCCGAGCCTCGGACTTGATAGCTGGGCGAAGTACTGGTGGTTTAACCAAACTTGCTGCCAATTCATAGAGGGGACACTGGAGTGACTGAACACCATATTAACTAACCACCAGATCTTTTTTTTTGAAAAAAACGAAAAAAAAACAAACAAACTATAAAACTGCAAGGCAAAAGTGCACTTTCATTTAAATCTTGCAAACATTTCCAATTTCCAGAAATTTTCCGAAATTTCCGAATTTCACAAATGTCAGCAGAGGGGTCTCCAATGCTCCAAATGAGACCAAATATGGCACAGAGGAACCTTAAACCGGGACAACAACAGGCATAAAAGAAAGAAAGAAAAACTCTGAAAAAGTTCCAAAAACATGAAATTTGAACCCCGAACCCTAATTTCTGTTTTTGAGTCTTTTAGACCCATTAACCCAAGAGTCTGAAGAGTGGGGGTCCCTGTTAACCACTTGTGTTTTTGCCTTTTATACCCGTTAACCCAAGCGTCCGAAAAGTGGGGACCTCTGTTACCCACTTGCGTTTCAGTCTTTTAGACACGTTAACCCAAGAGTCTGAAAAGTGGGAGTCCCTGTTACCCACTTGTGGTTTAGTCTTTTAGACCCATTAACCCAAGAGTCTGAAAAGTGTGGGTCCCTGTAAACCGCATGTGTTTTAGTCTTTTAGACCCGTTAACCCAAGAGCTGAAAAGTGGGGGGTCCCTGTTACCCCAAGAGATGAAAAGTGGGGGTCCCTGTTAACCCAAGAGATAAAAAGTGGGGGTCCCTGTTAACCCATGAACTGAAATGTGACCCAGCCGTGTGGCTGAACGGTACACAGATGTAACTGTTAGTAGATAGACTAGAGCTTAAATCCTGATGGAATCAGATAAAGCCACGACCACTGAAAAAACTATTGACAGGAGCTGAACAGGGAGGCTATTAGCCTATTAAGCAATTGATCGACAATTACCGAAGGGTTTTCCAGACTCTTCCTTTCCCCTTTTTTTTTCTTTTTTTTTTTGGCTGGTTCAAGTTCGCAGCGACAAAGTTCCCATTGATTTACATGGAAGTAGGATGGTATGATGCATCATACATCAAACGCTCCACTCAAAGAGAAGAGATTTCGCACAGAGAGAGAAGTCGACTCAAGGAGAAGAAACAACTCAACAGATGCAAATGACATCAACAAGATAGGAAGTAGAACAACTAAGGATAAACGTCCCCTACGCCGCGTGACATGGAAAACAAGAGAAGGACAAAAAGGAAAGGTACCTGTCAAAGATTACCACAGTGTCGGCTGTTGCGAGGTTGATGCCCAGCCCGCCTGCACGAGTGGAGAGTAAGAATATGAAGCACGATGATCCAGGGGAGTTGAATCTGTCGATTCGAATCTGTCGCTCAACGCCACTGACAGTCCCGTCAATCCGCTCGTAATTCCATTTCTGGCTTCCCAACAACAATAACAAATTCGAGCAAACCAACCACATATCCCACACCGTCACCCCACCCCACCCCCCCCTCCACACACCCCACACAATCCACCATGAACCCACACCCATACATTGCCCTCAATCTTGCTCCCTCAATCCTCTCCACACCACCCCTTCCTTAGTCCCATCCCACCTCCTCGCTCCCCCTTCCTCCTTGTAGGCAGGTGGAGGAAGGCAGAAGGAGAGAGGAGGCACATTTCACACATACAGTCCCCGCAAGCAAGAGTCAATTCAACCAGATCAGACGGCATGTCAGTACGAAAACGCACTCCTCTCTTACTCAGCCCTCCTCATTCTCTTCGCTTCACTAACTTAGGTCGGCTTTCTTCTCAAGTTTGTTGCATTCTCTTTCTTTTTTGACGGCCTTGAGATATCATCATTGAAGCTGACCGGCCCCAGGTAATTCAGAAGTTATTCTGGGCATCTGGGCATCTGACTTTACCTGGATTCAAACTCGAGTCCGTATTTCAGCAGTTTGTTGGTACACCTGTTTGCACAGGGCATTTGCCAAGCAGCACCCTTCACTAGTGGATTCCCATGGTTTTCTTTTCTTTTTTCATTTACATATATATCGTCAAACAGAACTGCCCGGTAAACCGTAGGCAGAGAGGGAGAAGAGGACAACAAACGAGGAGCTGTGACAAACTGTTTTGTCGGAGTTTCACCGACTCATCAGGAGGCTGAAACCTGAACAGTCTGCAGAATCCCCCAACTGATTACACTGTAAGTGGCCATCCACCTTAACCCCAGTTCTGGTTAAGCATCAACGACTGCCAGACAACTGATACCCTGAGGTGGGCACCAACCACTGCCCTCAAGGTACCTGTGAAGAACACCAAAAAAGCAGGCTATCACTCACCCACACCAGATGGAAAACTCACACCCCATCACAAGCCAGCAAAACACCCACGAAACAAAGGAAAGGTCTATCACAGCCAGAAAATACACTCCAGACATGCCGTTGGCACTAGAGGCACCGCATGGCCGCGTAGTGACGGCCCCGACCACAGACGCTCAACCTTACTGGAGAAACCGTAGCAGGGTGCTATCGAAGTCATGGTATATATCATCAAACAGAACTCCCCGGTAAACCGTAGGCAGATAGCGAGAGGAGGACAACAAACGAGGGGCTGTGACAAACTGTTTCATCAGAGTTAAAAAAGAACTCTCAAAAAGAGTTATAATTTAATAAACCACATGACTCCGATAATCTGATCTGTTGGTGGGAAGCAGCAGCTGCTGGATTTTCCCGTGTTGATGAGAGATAGCTGCGACTTTTTTTTTGGGTTCCTTTCAGGGTTGCATAGCTGCCGACCGCTGGCCCCGACCGCTTACCGTTTTGCAGCCGACCAGCAAGACCAACTGGTCGGCAGTCTGCCAAACGTCAGAAAACAGCCATCCACCGATTTTTTAAAAATCTGTATAGCCATCTGTACTGCACTTGCTCAGTACAGCTCAAATCCGCTGAGAAACTATTTTTTTTTTGGGCGAGGGTTGGGGGGGGGGGGGGGGGTGTTGGAGGGGTGTATGGGGACATTTGGGGCAGGTATGGGGGTGTTGGTGGGGTTATTGGGGGTTCTGGACCCAAAAAAAAACTTATTTTTATATTATCCGACAGGTCGGCTGATCGGCATCAGACCAGTCAAGGGGCGCCGACCGTCGGGCCATGCAACACTGGTTCCTTTCCTAAACCACCAGTACTCCGCCCAGCTTGAAAACAAATATGCATTTTTCGGGGGTAGGGATACAAGACCGAAATGGCCGGTGGGGCCAGCCCAAAGCAGGCCCTTGTCAGTGACTGCCAACTTTCCTCGCTGTGTCAGTGCCAATACACCTGTAGCAACAGCTACCACGAATAGAATGTCCGTTCATTATCACTGTACCCAGACTGACAGTTGCACCAAATACAGCTATAGCGAGGGGGATTTGGGATTTGAGATTTGTTTTACTTTCGACTTTCAAGGTGATTCACTGATTCATTCATAGCACTTCTATAAAAGTCACTACAGGCATACTCACATTCACACTCTTTTACTTAGCTGGTTCAGAACGTCGTGAGGCAGTTCGGTCCATATCCGTTGTGGGTGTGCCAGCATTGAGAGGACCCTTCCCTAGTACGAGAGGACCGGGAACGGCGTACTGCTGATGTATCAGTTATCATGCCAACAGTTGTCAAGTGCGGAGTTGAGATCAGCGGCACGTCCTTTCCGGTCCTCTCGGAAGGTCCGGCTGCTGATCTACCAGTCAAGTGCGGAGTGGAGATCACTGCCGAAAGCATCTAAATAGGAAGTCCACCTTAAACCGCAAGTACACAGCCCCAGCCTTGCAGAAAGTTTTTGTCACCACAAGCAGAACTCGGAGGGGCCGCGCGGCGCGGGGCACCGTTGAAAGAAAAAAACCGGCGGCCTCCGAAGTGGTGCGTAAGTTTCTTGCTGACACTCGCGGGCCGATGTATGGTGTACTGGTGCTTTAAGATGAGTGCTCTTGCTTATTCAAGCATGTCCTTCCAATATCCCATAGGGAATAAATAGGGCATGGGTAAGGTCACGGCAAGATGAGTCGTTTTTCACAATAGGTGCCAGCTATAAGTGCAGTAAGGCATGTAGCTGAGGTATCCCAACAGACCGAGAGATTTGGACATTTTCCTACCTAATCAAATCTAATGAAAATGAAATTCTGTGATAGTGTTCCTGCTCTTTCTTACCTGGCCTCTTCGTTATCCTTTTTAGTATAATCAAAAGACGAACAAAGAATAAGAGGAGGCCATCCGTTGATAATCTGGTATTTTAGGCGTCGTGGAACCAGACTGAACGGAATTGTGGACAGATGCAAATAAGTCCGGCCATAAATGCCGCTAGGTACACTTGAGATAGTGATAGTGTGAGTACGCCCTACGGACGCCGTGATCGCCATCGAGGTCATACTCACATTGGGACTTTCCTCGACATATCTGGCAGTGGTTACTGGCCACCTTGCGATGTATCTGACTACAATTAAGTCCAGAGAGGAGTCAAAAAAGAAATCCTAATAGTGTGAGCATAGTGTGAGCATGCCCTGAGATCCAAAAAAAGTAAAAAAACCTGTCTTTGAGTCAGAACGTTGAGCGAAGCCTGCTCTTCTTCATTGTTTTTTTTTTTTTTTTTTTTACCTTGAATGCAAGCCAATCCTCAAACAAATCGAGGACCCTTGTAAACTGAGAGTAGATAAGAACCCTATGTCCACCCCGCTTCAGCTTTTCCATCATCTTGCTCACAAGGGCGAATTTCCCGCCAAGTTCCACAAGAAGCCTGTACCAATGAAACGACAAACGAAATGAAACGCACATCAACAAGCCAGGATTTTTATTTATTTATTTATTTATTAAAATTTATTTATTTATTTACTTTTAGCCTTTTAGGACACCTTAAAATTAAACCAGCAGTACGCTGGGACTAGGCCCCTTCCGTGCACCCATTGCAAAGCAGCCGAGGTCCGTTTCGACACACAGGATCAAGAAAGCTAGTGAGCCCCACATGTGGCCCTGACCCATGGTGGTTTGGTAGTCCCGGGAAGGGTAAAATCAAACATGGCGTCCTTCGGGACATCCGTTAAAATTGGAACGATGCAGAGAAGATTACCACGGATGGCCCCTGCACAAGGATGACACATAAAAATCGAGAAATGGTCCAAATTAAGAAGAAGAACAAAAAAATCAAACATTGCCTCACAGCCAAGGACAGATTCGACACGGGCTGAAGAAAGCGAGCGAGCCCCAGCTGGGCCCATGACCCATGGTTCCAAGGTGGTTTGGTAGTCCAGAGGAGGGTAATGCTCAACACCAGGAGAAACTGGCGGTTGAAGTAACCCATCATATTCCCCCAAACACAACACACCTACAACATGACATTACAAATGGATTGGGGACTAGAGTAACTAGATTTATACAGCTCGTATAAATCCATGCTCAGGGTGTGTGCAATGCGTGGCGGACAACTGTAGTAATTTGATTCCACTTCAGAATTTGCAAGAGACTACTGTTTTTTTTTTTGTACTAGAAGAAAGACATCCAGTCTTTGGACACCCTATGTTTGGCGCTCCTGTGGACCAGTCTTGGCACAGGAAGGTTCCAACTTAGGACTGGGCCCTAGGCCCAACAGGCAGTAGTACCTTTGGGCTCAGAAAGCGTAAACCTGGGTGTAGGTACATTGATAGCGTGAACACAGGACGGTTCTATTGCCACTAAACTCGGGACTATAGTGTATTGCCACTTAACTCGGGGCTATAGTGCGGTCGGGCCCTTACATATTTGGTAAGGTTGGCACTTGTAACCCTTCTCAAAATCCAACACGCTCCAGGTTTCCGGATATTCCCAACTATAGTCCCATTTCTGGTCCCAATTCTGGTCCCAATTCTGGTCCCAATTCTGGTCCCAAGTAGTCCCAACTATGGTCCCAACTATAGTCCTAATAATGGTCCAAACTATGGTCCCAAATATGGTACCAACTACAGTCCAAACTATGGTCCTGATTACAGTCCCAACTACGGTCCCAACTATAGTCCCAAGTATGGTACCAACTATGGTCTCAACTTTAGTGGCAATAGAAACATCCTGATCATCCTATAGTCCTAACGATAGTCCCACATATCGAAGCACTGGCTGCTGTGCTGGTCATTGTAAGCCTTTGGCCTGTTCTGCTAGAGCTTGGGCATATCTATCTAATCTTCTTTGCTGCCAGTGCTTTCAAACATCAGTGCTGTAGAGAACAACAAAGCTGAACTTTCATATTCCTTCTGATATCTATAGATTTCCTCTCAACTATAGACATTCCACTTTCCTATGCCTTAACGCCAGGGCCCACTTTTGCTATGTTCATGCCACACAAATGCACAACCCCGTCTGCCACCATCAGGTTGCTTTTGCCAGGCCTGAATATAGCACTGCAATCAATGACCTGGTTTTAAAGGCGAAGCGTGCTGCTGGCGATTTCCATCACTTCGTGCCTAATTCACCGCCTATGTGCCCTTCATGCCCACCATCTTCCTTCCCCCGGACCAGACACACCCTCATCATCATCCCTGTACTGATAGGGAAGACAGCTTTTATAAAGTCGTACTTGGGGTTCGTTGAGGGTGTGAATTGGTGGTTTGGCACGTCTAACGGATTCTTCCTCCCTTACATTAGCAAGCATTGTAGGGAAAGAGGTGAAGATGGCTTCCATCGCTTCGTGCCTAATTCACCTCCTATGTGCCCCTTGCTTTTCTCGAGATTCTTCAGTTGGAAATTAGAATTGTGTGCTGACTCTGTTGAGGAAGAACTCTGAGAAGGGTCCAGAGGGAGACGTTGGATATTAGTTCGGTCAAAGTCAAAATATACCTGTGCCTCTCATTTGCATCCTCCACAACTGGCTCCGCCCCTTGAATGAGGAAAGGATGTGCACACACCTTCCGCAGCTCCATCATCACATTGGAAAGTGAGACCTGACACGCACACACACACAAACGCACAGACACACACATGCAGTGAATCTCTCTCTCTCTCTCTCTCTCTCTCTCTCTCTCTCTCTCTCTCTCTCTCTCTCTCTCTCTCTCTCACACACACACACACACACACACA